CAAAACATTATAACCACCTAATTTTATACGATTGTCGAACCTCGACGTTACGACTTTAACAAGAGTAACTACAAATGATTTTAGGACATTCCCAACAGTCCACACACATCACAATACATGAACTCTAACAATCTATTTTCATGACACACACATGTACTACCTTTTGTAATACCTAGCGAACTAGTACATAACCTTAAATAAATTTGTATCTTCAGTTTTCCCCTTTTTCAGTTTGTGTGTGAGCTCATAAAGTCTAGATGGAAAACCACATCTTCAGTCTCCCCCTATTAATCACATCATGGTAAAAACTAATATGAAGATCGACATCTGATATATCATGGTTTTATTGTTTTTTGACCATGATATAAGTATGATTTTAGAGTCTTTTGTATATATTTCAAATCATTTTAGAGTCATTGCATGTTTAGTTATGTTTTGGAAAACATTGGAGCTTTTGGAGAAATTTAGAGAATGATGGACCATGAACTTTAAAAGATCTAGTAGGAGTCATTTTTGAGTCTATTGTCGATCAACACCACTCTTTGTCTCGGTCGACACCCTCTTTTTCAAGAGACGATCCAAATTTTATAATGTTTAAGAAAGGTCCAAAAGTTTTATTTAATTACAAAAGAACCCAATTTGTGTGTTTAGATTATATCTTAAGGTTTTAGAGATCTTGTAACTTACGCTAAGATACTGGGAGATTTGGAGCATGGAGATTTTTGCAGAGAGGAATGTGTAAACTCATATATCTTGAGGAAAATTTTGCAATCTTTTTGTTACTTTGTAATTTTAATTACACAATTTATTCAGATTTTGATTTGTATTTTTTTGAACATGTCTGAGTAATTACATGATTAAATTTATGATTCTTAAACGGTTAATGAATGAATTGTTTGACTGGATTTAATTGTCAGAGTAATCCATTAGTATTTCAGCTAAGTTGTTATAAAGTTGAGCTATGAAAAACATTAATTATCCTAAAACCACAATCATTATCTTATACAATAAAGTTGAGTTTTCTCACTTCTTAAGCCTCCACATCAGCATTAGAACATGGGGCAAAAAAAGACATGTCAGCAATTACTAATTGAAATCAAACCGGACAAAATTAATTTTTCTCATCTCGGTTTGTCACATTCTGATTTTTTTGAGTTTTTTGACAAAATGGGTTTGGGCTCTTCAAAATATAATGGCCAGTTATAGAATGATTTATATATAACCCAACTTGCAGAATTCTTTTTAAGATTTACACACATTCTCAGTCCGTTAAGTCGTCTTCTTACCTTAGGTTTCAGAGATCAAACCGACGGTCACTTTTTTGTAAAGTTTTTTTTTTTTACCTTTTTTTAAAGTTTGTTCTCATGCATCTTTATATTTCATATTAAATAATTAACACTTGCACAACTTATAACTAAACAAGGTGCATATTTTGTATCACATATATTGCAACATCTTCGGCATTTTAAAGTACACAATTTAAAGTAACAAATGATAATAATTAACACAAATTAATAGAATTATGAAGATACCATTATAGAAAATTATAAACACTTTCATAACTCATATAAGATTAGACAAACTACAGAGCTAATGAACACTTGCACAACTTCTAAAAGAATAAACAAAGAGCATGGCTTATATCACTTTGTCTAAACAAAGGTCGGAGCTTATATCACTTTGGTTTATGATTGCCACATATATAAGAATCTGTTCAAAAAAATGATTGCCACATATACAAGGTCTTAGATGGGAAATTTATAAGTAACAAACTGATAAGAATTAACACAAAATGATAAAATTAAGAAGTTACCATTACAGAAAATAATGAACACTTGCACATCCCATAAAAGATTAGACACATTTCAGAGCTTATATAACATATATTAACACATCCTATACGCTTAGAAGACAAGTTTATAAATAACAAACTGCTAAAAATTAACACAAAAAATTGGATTTAAGAAGCTATAATCTTACAAATTAAAGCTTATTGTTGCAAGGTGCCTACACGCCTCCCAACTGAATGATTAGCTCACACTGTAAATGCAGTGTAATTGCAAAAGCCAGCAGTTACGTATCTCCTACATTCTTTCACTACACAATTCTGATGCAACCTCTTGATTCTTAATTACTCAATCATTGCAATTTTCAGAAATAATGGTGAAGATGCCAGTTGAATTTAATGGCAAAGCAACCACAAGGAGATCTCGAAAAAATCTTAGTGTTTCTGAACACTCCAGCGCATCATCATCATTTGTAACCAAAAGAAGTCATAAAAAAAAATTGGTCCAAAGGAGACGTAAACTTATTCTTTATGACTTTGACAACTTACTCTTTTGTAAACAAATTTATGTACTTATTCCTACTCTTTAATCTTTGTTCCTCCAGTATCTGAACCACTGCAGCCTTGGCTACAAGAGAAATATCTACCACGTACACCATCCCCCCCTCCCCCCCCCCCTATCGGACACCTATCAGCTAAAGCTCATCTTAATAGTGAGGGAATAAATCAGTACTTCTTCCACCACAAATCAATCAAAGCACTCAACCACCTCACATGTGCCAATCTGCTTATGGAAAATACGATAAGGGTATGTATCTTTGTGGTTTAGTAATGTTGTGCAGAGGAAACCTCAAAGAAGGAAAATATTTCTTTGATATCATTAACTAGGAACACACACTATCAAAATCCGATCGCTGCTGGAATAAGATTAAGAGGTTCAAGTACTTTGGATATCCGATCAGATTTCTTTGATACACTACTGCAGCAATGCTATCAAGAAACTTATGTTCGGGACAAGAACGTTCTCTGTAAACACCGCACCTGACGGTGGACCAACGGCAGAGGATATTGAGCATATGGAAGCTATGTTTGAAGCATTAGGGTTTAAGTTCGCCTTTTGTATCTCTGATTATCTACATATGCTCACAAGACTTGATCTTAACGGTCACGAGAATGGTGGCGTTTAAGATATAAACGATCAGCCTAGGATTGTTACTATTTTGTGTATANTTTGTATCTCTGATTATCTACATATGCTCACAAGACTTGATCTTAACGGTCACGAGAATGGTGGCGTTTAAGATATAAACGATCAGCCTAGGATTGTTACTATTTTGTGTATAAGATATAAACGATCAGTCTAGGATTGTTACTATTTTAAGAGGACGAAACTATAAATTATCTTCCTTGAAACAACTTAATCACAAAAAAAACACAACTATTTACATTATTCATTCACAAACATGAACTTTACTTTATGTTTAAGTATTTACTAAATTAACTTTGTAAAGTCTATCAAATTTTTACTCTACTTTTATTTGTTTTGATTAATAACAACCACTTATGCTACTCCACTAATAATCAGAAAAGATTCTTCAACATAGTTACAACATCAAATTTCTGAACATAATCTCTTCACTAAAACCATAAAATAAATTGCAACCTTTTTATAATAATATATATGAATCCGGCGCGTAGCGCCGGCACACCACTAATACATATATATAAATAAGATTTTATAGAAAAACCAGAATCATTATCGTAAAGAGGGGGAGGTGAGCATGTAATTACGCTTGAACAAAGTGGATAGATATAGATCGACGAATGCGTTGTAAAGAAGAAAAGATATTGTCGAGCTGACATGACAACTTGAAAGAATTTGATTGGCTTGAATATTTCTGCCAACATGGAAGAAAAAATGACACAGGCTCCTAGGTGTCTATTTTCTCCTATAGAGAGAAAATTACAATTTTATTATTATAGATATAAAATGTCATTAATTAGTTAATTTTCTAAATTACTTAGTTAGAAATTAGTTTCTTTTTAGAATTGGGTAAATCGACAATTACACAATCACATCATTTTAATTATATTAGATACGATCATAGTTAAAAATTAGTTAACAGATAAAGTATAATTGTTTCCCGATACACTTACAAAAAAAAACATTTTCAAATAATCAAACGGATCCAAAATTTTAGTATCTAAAGAATCGGAACCAACCCCAATCCAAACAAAAATATTCCTGGTGCCTGAAATATATGAACATAATTATGTACCTAAATGTTTTTTTGGTTAAAATATACCTAAATATATTAGTTATATTTAGATGTATACAAAAAAATATCCAAAATAACTAAAGATATCCAAACTAACTAAAAGTAAATATCTAAAAATAGCCAAAAATATCAAAACATCAAAGATATCCTAAATACCTACCAATTTTATATCCAGTTATTTTAGCTGAACAATATTTTCTTTTTTAGATATTTGCTCGTACAGTATTTAAATTGTATAGTGTCTTATTTTATTTTTGATTGAAAAATCTATACTATTATTTGAGAAGAGATTTTTCTGATTTGTCATTTTCCATAATTTTAGATGATTTTGCTTATTTTTCATGTTTTATTAATTTTTAGCTGTGTCATTAATTATTAATTTAATAATATAATTATTTCAAACTTTACTGTTTTGTCGAGTTCTCAATAATTTAGGGAATTTGCTTATTTATTATGTTTTTATTAGTTTTTAACTGAGTTATTTTTTATTTTTTTAAATAATATAACTATTTCAATCTTTTTAATTATAATTATAATTATTCTAATTCTGATCAGTTAAGACCAATTATTATTGTCATGTGATGTAATAAGTTTTAGTTAGTAGACAGTATCATATGTAAATATTTAATACTATGTGTATGTCATATAACTATACTAGGGGTTTGTCCGCGCTTCGCGCAGAAGTTTTAATATTTTAAATTTTAAAATTGGTATATTTACTGTATCTTAAGTAGACTATGCTAATACTATTTTTAAAATGAATAAATCTCTAGATTATAGTATTTAATATGAAAATTTATAATATATATATATATCAAGTTTCAAAATATATATATAGATATATCTTAATCACCACTTTTTAATACTATAGGATGTATTAAAATATAATTATATTAGCATAACTAAATGATCATCACTATAATTCAATCTTTAGCAAAAAAAAAGAAACGGCAAGATGGCGATTGCAAAGGCGATCTAGCAGATCTCTATGGTTCGATGGGTGGATCCAGGGATTTTTGTTCAACGATGGTCGAGGGGATGTAAGGTTACTGTTTTGAGGATCGGTTTTTTCAGATCTCTAAGGTGGATTAGAAGGATACGGTTTCCGTCGGTCTATGGTCATCCCAATTGGGATTTGGTTTTTATGAGATTTGGGGAGACTCCACAGAATCATCGTGAGATACGTTATCTCCTTGTCAATTTGCAGTTTTGGAAAAGCTCAGGGATTATTATGATCAGGAAATCTTTCTCCATCGATACCATCAAGGTTTCTCTAGAGGGTATATCCACTCCTTCTCAGTGTTTCTATTATTATTCTTGGTTCGTATGGGAATTGGTTACTTATTTTTCTTTTGGTTCATGGTCTCTGGTGTTACATTTTTGGATTTCTGTCGTTCATTTTGCTCAGTTCCTGTCCATTTGATTCATTCTACGTACTTTGCTTGGAGTTGCAGGTTTTGCTATGGTATCTTTGGCTTTGTCTATTCTGTTCCAGGTCTGGAGTATGGGTATATGAGCTTTGGTATATCACAATACTGGAAGGGTTAGTTGCTGGTGTTGTTTGTATGAGGTCTTTAAAAGAATATATGCTTGTGACCTTCGGTTTTCAGGCTAGATCACACGAAAAAGGCCTTTACCGCTTGGTAATACGGATATTCCTTGGGCTCGGTACTTGTAAACATTTGGACAATAAGCTTATATTGTTAAAAGAGTTTTGGACAATGTCTATTAAGGTTATGGAGCATTATCGGATTGTCACAATAGTTTGTATATGGGGGATAATTGAGTGCATGGTGTATCATGTAGATATAGTCGAATGGGATTCATATGGATGTCAATTGCGCTATAATGAAAATTTTATACCTAAAGATAATTTTTTTATTGGGAATGAGTGTTTTATGGATAAAATTCTCTGGTTCCTATGAGAATTTGCATAAACTATTTTGGTATGAACAAGTGCGTGGGTTCTTTTATAACCTTCGCTGGTTTGTATATAAACTACTAGGTTGGTGTTCTTTTGAATGTTTTATTATGGGGTTCTTTAAATTTTTTTGGAAAAATTATTCATCATGAATATTCTAAGTTGGAATTGCAGAGGTGCTGGTAATTCGGATACAGTCCAACGAATTCGGGATTTTCGTCGTCAGTATTTCCCGGATTTTTTATTTCTCATGGAGACGAAACAGAAATTTGTTTATATGGATGCTTTAAAATCAAGTTTGGGCTATGACCAGTTACACACGGTCGAACCCGTTGGCCGGAGTGGTGGGTTATCTCTAATGTGGAAGGGGTCTTACATAGTGGAAATTTTGTATAGTGATAATAGAATTATTGATCTTAAAATCACAATGGGTTCCTTGATATTCTTTATGTCATGTGTATACGGTGATCCAGTCAGAGGAAGAAGACGACTAGTCTGGGATAAACTAATAGATATTGGCGTGAGTAGGGATGAAGCTTGGGTCTTGGTGGGTGATTTTAACGAACTAATGAATAATGACGAAAAACTAGGTGGGGCTATTAGAGATGAAACCACTTTTTTGATTTCCGGAATATGGCTGAAGCATGTAAAATTAGAGAAATGAGATCTACCGGGAATTCCCTTTCATGGGCTGCTATGCGGGACCATCACTGGGTACAATGTCGTCTTGATAGGACATTTGGTTTCGTCTTTTTCCTCAATCATCTACTGAATATATGAGCATGTGGCCCTCTGATCATCGACCTCTACGTGTAGAGTTTGCTTTTGAGCCGGAAATACTACAGAGGGGACGGTTTTATTTTGATAAACGTTTATTTGGAAAAAGAGGGGTTAATGAGGCAATTATCCGGGGATGGGATGCTGAGAACGTAGACTCAAATTTATCGGTTCTTGATCGTATTGCTCGGTGTAGGTCGAAATTGTCTAAGCTTAAAAAGGCTAATGACTGGAATTCAAAAAATAGGATTGATAGGTTGCAATGTGACTTAGATAAAGAAAGTTCCAAACAATTTCCTATTTATGGTTTGATGAGAAGGTTAAGACAAGAACTGGCTGCGGCTTATAGGGAAGAGGAGATTTTTTGGAGACAGAAAAGTAGTGAAGAATGGTTAAGGGAAGGAGATAGAAATACCACATATTTTCATAATGTGGTGAAGGGGAAAAGAATGAGAAATAAAATTTTGATGCTCAAAGATATTTTTGGTAATGAACATTATTTCGAAGGATCGAAAGGACATATTGCTACCGAATATTTTAGGGAGCTGTTTACAAGCTCCAATCCTATTGATCTGGAAACATTGTTCGATGGATTTGAAAGTAAGGTTACCTCAGAGATGAACACATTATTGATCAGGGAGGTAACCGCTGAGGAAATCAAGGATGCAGCATTTGGTATCAAAAGTAGTAGTGCACCTGGAGAAGATGGACTTATGGGTTTTTTCTATCAGAAATACTGGCACATTATAGGTCAGAAAATTTTTCAGGATGTTCAAAGTTTTTTTAAAACAGCCATTATTCCTGCTGGGTGGAACCATACACAATTATCTTTGTTGCCTAAAATTTTGAATCCTACAGAAATGAAGGATATGCATCCAATAAGTTTGTGTAGTGTTCAATATAAAATCATTTCTCGGATTCTATGCGAACGCATGAAGACGGTTTTGCCACATATAATTTCAGAAACTCAAGGGGCTTTTATAGGTGGCAGGTTAATAACGGACAATGACATTATAGCACATGAGCTGGTACATGCGCTCCGTACAAATCAAAAAATTGGTAAAGAATGTATGGCCATTAAAACTGACATGTCAAAGGCTTATGATCGGGTTGAATGGAATTTCCTAGAAGTTTTATTAGGAAAAATGGGAGTTCATAGGAAATGGGTCGTCTGGTTAATGTCATGCATCACTTCTGTCACTTTCGCGGTGTTACTCAATAGGCGTTCACATGGGTTTATCAAACCAGAAAGAGGTATTCGTCAGGGGGATCCTTTATCTCCTTTTTTATTCATTTTATGTGCCGAAGTTTTAGTGCATGTTCTAAATAGATCGGAAGCACAAGGGAAATTACATGGTATAAAACTTGCTAAGGGCAGCCCTTCTGTCCACCATTTGTTGTTTGCGGATGATAGCTTATTGCTATGTGAAGCCTCTGTGAGTGACAGTGAAGAAATTATGAAGGGTCTCAAATGTTATGGGGATGCGTCTGGGCAAATGATTAATCCTTTGAAATCTTCCATCATTTTTGGGAAAAAATAGATAATATTCATAAACAGATGATCAAAGAGGTTTTGGGTATTGAAAAAGAAGGTGGTGAAGGTTCATATCTTGGTCTCCCTGAATGCTTTCAAGGTTCAAAAAAAGCGCTCCTAAATTTTATCAAGGATAAATTAGAAGGCCGGCTACAGGGATGGTACTCTAAAACTTTGTCAATGGGTGCCAAGGAAGTTCTCATAAAATCAGTGGCCTTAGCTCTACCGATATATGCAATGTTTGGTTTTAGGTTACCAAAAGGTCTGTGTGAACGAATTACGAGAGCGATTATAGAGTTTTGGTGGAGTAGTGGGGATAAAAAAAAGAAAAATACCTTGGGTTTCTTGGGAAAAGCTTTGTAAACCAAAAGAACAGGTGGGTCTTGGGTTTCAGGATATTGGTCGTTTTAATCAGGCGTTGCTTGGGAAACAAGCTTGGCGAATATGGAATAATCCAGATTCTTTGGTCTCTCGAATCCTTAAAGGTAAATATTTTAAAAATGGCGATTTTCTAAACTGCGCAATGGGGACACGTCCGTCTTATGCTTGGAGGAGCATCATGCATGGAAGAGAATTACTTAAAAAGGGTTTATATCGACATATTGGTAATGGAACTGACTCTAATGTTTGGGCTGAGAATTGGATTATTGACACTATTCCACGACCACCAATGTATCGTGAAAATAGTCCTATAAATTTAGCACTTAAAGTTTCGGATTTGCTAAGACCAGAGTCTAACCAATGGGACATTAATCTGCTACAGCAGACTTTTATGCCTCAGGATACACGAAGGATATTACTTTTGAAACCATCATTGGTATGTGACGACTCTATCAGATGGGATTTTACACCAAATGGTGCTTATACGACGCGAAGTGGATATAAATTGTTAGAGGCTTTAGTGGAATATGATCACCCTCAAGGGCAATCGCTCACCCCCATTGAAAAGAAATTATGGCGGGACCTATGGAAAACAAAAGCTCCACCAAAAATAAAACATTTTATGTGGCGGGCGTTATCAGGTGCGTTAGCTGTTAAGCAACGTTTGACTACTCGGAGTATCCCGATAGATCCAACTTGCCCAGTTTGTGGAAATGAGGATGAAACTATTTGTCATGTTTTATTCACCTGTGTTAAAGCTCAATATGGGATCAAGCTAATGTCCAAGTACCTTTAGGAGGCTTTTCTAGGAATTCTACATTCTTAAATTTTGTCCATTTACTCAAAACTGCAAGGAGCGTTTCTTTGGATATCCATACAAAAAAAGTTTTCCCATGGTTGCTATGGGAAATATGGAAAGCTAGGAACTCATTTGTTTTTAAGAATAAGGTTTTAGAGTCTTCTTTTATTGCTAGGAGGGCATATGAAGAAGAACTAACATGGTACGATACATTCACAGGATCGAAAGATCAAGTGGATGGTATGGTCATAGATAAGGTTCGATGGAGGAAACCCCCTAATGGATCCCTAAAATGTAATGTGGGATCCTCATGGATTGACTCAAATCAGCCGAATGGTGCATCATGGATTCTTCGCGACGAAAAAGGAAGCACACTCATGCATAGTCGTCGAGCTTATTCCTACATGCGCACAAAGATCGAGGCCGACCTGTGGGCTCTCTACTGGGCAGTGGAATGTTTGCATAACCTACATTTCTCGAATGTTATTTTGGAGACCTCATCGGAGTGCTTACATGACGTTATGACAAATCCAACTGCTCACCCTAGCCTCAGCCACATCCGTCACAGCATTCTCTGGCTTTTATCAAGAATTGATTCATGGAGTTTGGATCATACTCTTCCGGAACGTAATGAAGCGGCAGCGGCCATTTGTTTCAGTGTTACTCGAGATAGGTGCCATCAGTCGTATATCGCTCGAAATGCTCCATCGTGGCTACTTCATCTTCTAGTTTTGGAGGCTAAATAAGTAGGAGAGTGGGTAAATCTTGCTTCTCTTATCTTTTGTTGTTTTGATGGTTTCTACTGACATCTCATCTTCCTGTTTTTAGTTTTTCATACTTGTTTACTTTCGAAATTTGTTTATTACTCAGTGTTATAAAAAAGAAAAAACTAAATTGATCAATTCCATGATTTGTTTAAAGTTATGTTGATTTTGGTTATTATGATTTGAAAATTAATATTAATGTGGACTATAAAGATCTCAATGATTATAAGTATATATATATATATATATATATTTATATTTTATATGAAGATATTTATATATAGGTTAGCTCTTTTATGGATTTCCAAAAACTGGTTCAAGTAATTAAAACATCGATCATGATTTGTTATTGTGAACTGAGAACTCAAAGCAAAGTCTCATGTTTTTTGGGATTATAAAAACATGTGTGACTGGATTTACGATGCTTATGCATTCAATGATTTATTTTCTAATGGGTGGGGGTGGGTATCTATTATTAGACAGTTTGTTTGGAAGCACGTAATCTTGCTTTATTCTACTGATGTCAATCTGCAATGCATGAGTTCAAAGATGCTATGGATAAGTTCCATGTTGGTGACTTTGTGTTTATTGGTTACCGACAACACAACCTCTATGAATGAACCAACAAAACAGAAACACAAACATACAAATGAGCAACCATTTTTAGTAATACAAAATGTTTATTAATCACCAATTCTGTAATTATTTCCTC